CCGGGCCGAGCCTGGGGCGGGGTTTGCGAGGGGAGTGAGGGAGGGGCGCTCGGGAGGGGACATCTTTTCCACTGAGGGGTGCGCCAGGAGGAGAGGCTGAGCCGGGGGGCTGCCAGCCCCGGCGGCCCCAGCTGAGCTCTGCTTGGGTCTCCACGCCAGCCTCCATCTCCACAGGCTGCTCCAGCCCCACGTCTTGGCCCTGCCAGCAGCCGGCTTGTCCCCCGGTGCACCCGGAGAAGCACTGCAGAGCCCTTTCCCCGAGCTCTGCGCCCAGACAGCCGGGCCTCTAAACCCACGCTGGCATCGCCTGAGCATTACGTGAGGGTCCTGCCAGCGCTGCGCTTGCATCTGTGCCAGGATGTGCTGGCACCGACGTGTGCCAGCCCTGATCCAAGCTGTGGCCCTGTGGCACTTCAGCCAGGGCATGTGCCCCGGTAGCGTGTCAAGTGCGGGAACTTGCTGTTGGGTGAACAAACTGTTCGGGGCTGTGCCTGCTTGTGGCTGGCTTTCACTCCTACTACAACTTGCACTGCACAAAACAAGATGGAGTGAATCAATGTTGAGATGCCCTGTGCCTGATGAGATGTCACAGCCTCTCCGTTCAACGTCAGAACACCCCTTAAGGTGTCCCAGCTGTTCCTGGGCTTGCTGCAGCCTGAAGATGATCCATTTTGCAGCCTGTTGAGCACACGCCGTTACTTGTGCTTCTCCGTTGGTTTCTCTGTCTCTACCAGATCAGGATTAACCTTTACATCCTTGCTGGCTTCGCTGTGCCTGCTACTGCTTGTTCACGTTGGAGGTGGCAAATCTCACCGCTGGCCGATGACGCCGGCCGCGGCTCTGTCAGAACACTTCCCTGCCTGCCTCCCCTCCGCCGTGGGAGATCCCCTGCCTGTCGCAGAACAACTGCATTATCCTCCTCCAAATCCCTCTTCTGCCGTGACGTCTGCAGAACACTTGACTGAGATTAGTCTGTCATGTGGAGGCTCTTGCCCCCCGCTGACCTGTGCTTCCCCTTCTGCGGCTGCTTTTGGCTTGTCTCTTCCCTGCTTGTGCAGCCGGCGGCAGCACAGGCGCCAGTTCAGGACCAGCACTCCGGGCCTCCAGGGTTGTGGTGAAACTGGAGTTCTGGGAGGAAAGTCAGACTTGAGTAGTTCCTTGCTCTGTCTGCTCAGGCACTAACTTTTCCATCCCAGCTTTCTTGCCTGCGTGCTGTCCTCTCTTATAGTGTCTTTGACACCTTCTGCATTTCCCTGAAAAGGATTTTTCACTGAATCCTCATTATTTTTAGAGGTATCAATGAAGCTAAAAATTTTACAACTTCTCAACGCAGCATCCAGCTGCGGAGCTGGCGAGGCCACCAGCTCAACATGAGAGGATCAGAGTTCTCCCAGGTGCATCACAAAGTCCTGCCTGGACTGCTCTTCAGTGGCTATTAAAGCAGTAATTAGTGCTTTTTTCCTGGGCAGATAGCTGTGTTGTGCCCTGAGCATGATCCTAGTGTTGTCCCTCAGGCCGTTGTACGCTTGGCCCCGGTGATGTGTGTTTCCTTCACGCCGCCCTGCTTGAATTTCCTGCTTCCTCCTCACTTGGCAGCAAGTGCCCTTGGATCAATACCAGTTTGCTGTGACATCAAGTTGCAGACCGTTGTTCAAACAAGGGAACAACAAGGAGCGGCGTTGCCTCGCCACAGCGTTCGGCGTCAGTGAAGCACAACTGAAATAGCCTCCGGCTCTGGTGTCAGGTCTTCAGGAGGATGCTGCACCTTTGGCAGGGACTCAGAATCAATTTTTGAGCAGACTCAGTTAGGAAGCTGGAAAATTGAACATGACGCTGGGATGGCTTTGAGGTGCTCAGGGTTCTTAGTGTTGAGACGGCTTGATCGTGCTGTTCTCAGTGCATGCGCAGGGAGAGGGTTCAATGACGGGCTGCTTTACTAGGGCAAAATGAGATCTGGTTACCCGCAGCTGGGGCATGTCAAACTCAAACTGGAAACAAGCTGCAGATTTTACTGACTTAACCATTGGAACCCTTCATCTTGGGATGGGTTGGATGGGATTGCCTGAAATCTTTGTTTAGGTTTGAGGATATTTCTGTGTGAGATGTTTCAGTTTTACTTTGGAGATGAATCAGTGATGGGATTTTCTTGATGATGCTTCTAACTTGGGTTATGCCCAGAATCTGACCCAGTGTTTGTGAGTAGCCATGCCTGGGCTTAGTGGTGTCAGGTCCCTGCTTAAGAACGTGAGATGATTTCAGTTGCTGTAAGCTAACTATCTTCTCTCTCCTCTTGAGGTGTCAAGGGTTGTTTTTCCAGTAATTTGGACCTTTTTGAAGCACCTGCTTGCCTAATGCCATGAATATTGCAGTGAACAATGTGGAAGAAAAAGCTGTCCATTCCTGGTCGAGAATTTCCTCTGCAGGACAGAAGGTGCTGGAGGAAGCCCTCCGAGTCTTCAACCCCATGTCCAAGGACCTTTCGGACACAGAGACCCAGCTGGTGGCCTTCATTCAGAGCCTGAAGGAGGAGGGCTACCAGCCCACAATTCTGAGGAGTAAGGATGTGTATGGGTACAGCTCGTGCACGGCAGACACGCCTAGTCAAACAAAAGAGAGCACCCCGCACAACTGCGCCAATGCTGCTGAGTCCGCTAAGAGTCCGGCTAGAAACACCGCAGCCGTGGCAAAGGTGTCTGCTTCACCGACCAGCGTTTCGGTGAACTCTTCGAAAGTTTCCGCTCAGCCTGTCTCTAAAGGGGATTCCACAAATCTCCTCTTGAGCTCCTTGAAGCAGACAAGATCCGGCAAGTCCAAGGCCACGGCAGTGGGCTTCCCTACAAGCCTGTATCCTGACGTGTATCCAGCCATGAGACTGTCGGTAGTTCTGGAAGCTCTGGTGCCGCTGAAAACTACCGCGTCCTGTTTGGAGTCCAAGTACACACAGGGGCGTCTTGGGATCTCACCCTCGGACCTTAAACTCCTCAAGGCTTCAAGTCCGCCGAGGCAGTTTTCTTCAGGCAAGACCGCTAAAATATCAGAAGGTAAGGGGTACAAGCGTTTGATAAAGAAAGCACCAGATTCTGCCACCCTTGCTTTAAATCTTCTGAAGGGACCAAAGGGTGGAGTGCTGCAGGAGAGCAATGCTTGCAAAGCCTCGGGAGTCCTCAATGGGAGAGTCACAGGCAACTCGTCCCAGGGCTGCACCACAGCACCGCAGTCCAAGACCTTGAAAATCAAAGATAAGGAAGCTCTGGTGGGGAAAACAGAGTGGAAGGCCAGCAGCACTTACCGGGAGAGTGGTGTGCAGAAGAAGAGAAGAGCTACGGAGGCAAGAGAAGCACCACAGAGGAAGAAAGCAAATACCATTGCTGTCCGAAATAAATCTCAACAGGCTCAGAGCACTTTGAACTTGCTGAAATTCCGGGCCATCAAGGTGGGCAACTCTTCCTCTGATGATGAAGTGAGGAGGAGAGCACAGAAGATTCTTAGGGTCAACCTGTCCCCCGTGATCCGAATTCGACCCTTGTCCCACTCTCACAGCGTCCCCTGAGTTTCTTCATTTGGTCACTTTTTTTTGTAAGTAAGTAAATATGAGCCCGGCACCAGAGCGTGGAGATGTTTAAGAGCAACTCTGGATCTCTGGTGCCTGGTGACGATGTCGACTAACCTGCAGATGGAGCAGCCTGCTCTCGCGCTGTTTCTGCCTATCTGCTGCTGCTATGCAGAACTGACTGCAGAAATACAAAAACCTGTTTGGGAATGCGGGACGGTGACTCTTGCCCGTGGCAAGCCGAGTAGGTCGGAAGGCTCACTTCCCGCGAGTGCTCTTCTGAACATGGCAGGCTGCGCTCTCATGCAGGGCGAGAACCCGGGACTTTCTCATGACATTGATGCACTGTGATATTGCTCTTTTTCAAGCTGTACATTTACTGGTTTTATTTTGTTCAAATTTTATAACTTTATTATCTATATATCTGTATATCCATATATGTGCATATGGCCCAGCAACTGTGGGCGGATGCACTTCCTCCATCCCTCTGGGATTGGGTTTGATAGCTTTTGTTCCCCCTCCCCTTCAGCCAGTCTTTTGATGAAAGGTGCCAGGATTTCTTTGTGATTCAGTGTTGTGACAGTCTGTTCTGGCCTCTCTTGAGCAGCTCAGAGGCAAGCAGAGTTATAGGCACTTGTTTGTTTCCAGAAATGCCAAGCAATTTGGAGAATTACCAGCTGATAGTTGACTATAGTTTTAATCATATTTTCAGTATTACCTCTGCACAGGAGTCGAGGAGTGTTAGGGGGCTGTTGCCTGCAAGTCTGCCTGACATCTCTAGGTGCCTCCTCCATTTGTTGGTAGCAGAAACTCTGAACTCACGGCAGAGGTTTGGCTCCAAAGAGCAATTCCTCCTCAGCACCCAGTGTTGCTCCGCTTTCCTGTACCTCAGATGCAGAGGTAGAACACAAACTGTGACTGTTAGAGCTGGAGACGTTAACAGGAATTGCATAAAGTGTCCTGCCCACCACATAACTGCTTTGCTGTTGCTGGATGGTTCAGGAGCAGGTTCTAGGTGCCAGTAGAGGAGACACAGGCTGCGTTTGAATGTACTAGATACGTCCTGCCAGTCCCAGAGCTCAGTGGGATATTTGAGCCTGAATTAAAGCGGAAAAGTGAAAGAGTTGAGAGGATATATGCCAGCGCTTAAACATAGAGAGCTTCTTTCTGTCAGTTTGTGGGGGTGAAGCACTAGGAGGGGAGATTGGCACCGTGTTGTGATGGGTGACAGCTTTACTGAGTGTCTGGGATGTTGTGAGAAGGTGTGTGGCAGGTGTGAAAGCTCCTGGAGCACAGAGCTGCTGCAGACGGCTGCGTTAGCCTTCCTGTGCCCAGGGCATGCTGTCGGATGGAAGCACAGGCTGTGCGCTGGCGGAGGTCGGGTCTACTCTCCACAGGGAGGGATCTGCAAGCTCCAGGAGAAACAGCACGTTGGAGCGGTAGGTGCTGACGCTGTCACCTCGGAGGGATGGTCTCTGATGAGGCAATCTGCGTTGGGATACTGCAAAAGCAGAACCTGGCAGCTCGGGGAGAGGAGCAGCGTTGGGCCAGGCACGGACCCAGCTCTGTACGCCACTACTGTATGTTCAGATCTCTGCAGCAGTGGGCCGGTAATCCACTCATTCTCTCACCAGCTCAAAATACCAGTTGTCTGACCTAGTAATCTCTGCGGACATTGGCTGAAGGGATGAGCTCCCGTGGGAAGCCCCAGCTCCTTACGTTTCAGCCCCTCCCTAGCACCTGGCTGGATTTCAGTGCTTTGTAAAAGGGGTCAGCGCCTGATGCCCAGCTTAGAGAGGAGAACCATGGCATGGAGAAGAGAGAGGAGATTCATGAGGGAGTGAGAGGGCAGAGAAGCTAGGTGTCTCGAGGCACAGCCAGGGTTCTCCCTCCTTGCCCAGGCAGAGGAGGGTGGAGGTTCTCCGTCGGGGGATGATTGCAGGCTCTGAATCACATGCTCAGGTTCTTTGTGGTTACCGTGCGTATCTGAGTTGCTGTCAGAGATCGTAACTTGCAGTGTTTGAGACTGACCTGTGAATGCCGCTGGTTGGCTGCAGAGGAGGAGGAAATATTTTCTGCTTCTATGTTTTAAAATGCCCTGGCAGAGAGTTCCCTGTCCTGACATGATGCTGGATGAACAGCGACCCTCCATCACTCTTAACCAGCCAAAAATTGTTTTGTCCCTTTTGTTCCCAGTCCTTCAGACCTTTCTTATTCCCACGCTCTCAAATGCCAGGTCTTGAAGTCTTGCACTGGAGTTTCTCTTTTTGGCTGTTTCCCGAGGAGGGCTCTGAACTCCTGCCTGCAGTATTGCTGTCTGACAGGCTGCTCAGCAGCTTCCCCTGTTCCTAGCCCCTTATAAGGGCACCGAGCTGTCTCTGGAACCTCTTCGTGCAGTGCAGACATCCCAGCTGAGCGCCTGGCCTCCAGTGGGAAAAACAACTATGCGTCAGCAAGGCTGAATTTGGGTTGAGGTTGCTTCTCCTCCAGCCCAAGCAGGAAGCTGGGCACCGGAGGCTAGCTTACCAGGCCATATCCCCCCTCTTCGTTGTGTCTCTTCCTCCAGCTGCACTGCTACCTGCCTCCCCACTCTTCTCCATCACCTCTTGTCTTTCACAGCTTGGATCTTTGCCAGTCGAGGATTTGGCTCGTACTACTGCTTAACACATCCAGCAAAACATACTGCCTTAGTGCTGCCATGCCTTTCCCAGCACCGAGCTGAGTTCTGTGAATGCTTGGTGACGATGGCTTGGCCAGTGTCCTTCCCAGGCCACCAGCAAGAGCTCTTCTGCTCCACAGGGAGAGATGAGCATTAGAAATGCTTCTGTGTCACTGAGGCTTCTGCCAGGGAAGCGAGCACCCTGTAGCTCTGTGCTCAGGGACTTGCCCGTCATCAGTCCAGTCTCTGTCAGCTCTTCTGCACATCTCTAACAGACCGCAGGGCCCCTGAGCTACTGGGCAGGGCTGGAGCTCGATTCTCTGCCCCTCGCAGGTGATTTGGAAACTTGGCTGGAAGGATTGCAGCTGGTTGTTCACAGAGGGGCTTTACAGCCCCTGGTGCCCATGTCAGCAACTGCTGCCTGTCACCAGGTGGCTGGCTCAGCCGTCCTTCATCTCATGGCTGGGTGCGGGTGCTCCTGGTGTCCTGGGCCTTTGACACTGATGTGCAGGAGGCTGCAGAAGGGGCTGTGTTGTGGACGCTGCTGCCTGTTTAGGGAGGATGAAGGGTTTGATCAAACCAGACCTGCCTAAGACCTGATCTAACCAGAGATCTCCCTCCCGAGGTCCCTTCCACCCCACGTTATTCTGTGACAGCAGAGTAACACTTGCCTTCCAGGCATCTGCGCAGCAGTAACTGGCAGGGCGTATAGAAATATGTGGCCTGGAGTGCTGTGGTCTCTGCTGTGCGTGCTGCATGCAGGTTGTTCAGACCTGTTTCTGTATTAGTCGCTTTGCATTCATCCAAGTGCCTAACCCAACCTATGCTGTTCCTGGGCACCGTGTCAGCCGAGAGCTTTGGAGACTCTCTTAAGAATGCTTTTACCACATGGGTTTGTGCTGCTGTCACTTCTAGAAATTATTCAGCCAGCGGTCAAAGGGCTGTTCTTCTGACTGATTTTATGGAAATCGTTTCTCCTTTTATTCAGCTGCCAAGAAGCAAGAGTTTATGCTTCGCCTCCACCAGACAAGGTTCTTGAGCTTCCTGCATGCTTCAGATGTCCGTCAGCAAGGTCCATGGGGAGAGCAGCTTGTCCAGCAGGCAGCTGAAGGGGAAGCTGACATCAGATACCAGTTGAAATCACATTGTTAATCAGTAGAAATGTTTTGAAGCTCATGTCCACTGTGATCAGATTTCACCATCTGCCACTACTTTTAGTTGGAGAAGTTTCTCCTTGGCCTCTTCCCTGCAAGCCATGTAGCGTGGTGCTGCTGCTTCCAAACTGTTTGCATCCCCCCCCAGAGCCAGCTGCCATAGCGATCCTTGTACAGAATTTCTTAAGCACTTTTCTGCAAAATAAGAAGGGATTATTTTGTTACTCCTGTTTTGTAACCTGCTGGTGGTATTTCAGTGCGAGGAGGAGGACGTGTGTTCCCTGGAGTATTGTGAGCACTGGCCTAGCTGGATGCTTCTCAGATCAGGGCATCGCCCACCCAGTCTGCAGCAGTCACACTCGCAGGGCCAGGGGGGCAGTGGGCTGAGACCCCTCGGTGCCTGGTGTTTCCTTGCACAGAGTTCAGCCAGTTGCCATCTAAGAGCATCGCTGGGAGGTTGGGAGCAGAGCAGCACGGGTGGGCGATGCTGTGCACCCAGCTCTGCAGCCCTGTCCTTGTTCTGCCGTGTGTCCTCTGGGCCCCCCTTGTACACCAGCAGCGCTTCGCATCCAGTCGAGCTGGTGGAAGTCCCCTGGCTCCAGCTGTGGCAGGGGGGGCTGGGGGGCTTTGGGTTTTCAGCTTGAAGCACAGCATTTGAGCCCTTTCGGTTGTGACTTGTGCCGTGTTCATGGCCAGACCTTGCCAGCATGTGGGGGGATGCAGCCACTCCAGCTCTTCTTCCCCCTTGGGTCCAAGTTCCCTGCGGTGTCTGGGAGCTGGGCCTTCGGCCAGGGTGCAAGGGATGCGTGGGGACAGGGAGCAGGTTTGTCTCTCAGCTACAGCTGGACAGTGCGACGTGAGCTGGGCAGCTTCCCGCGCAGGAGGGCAGGTTTAGGTGGGAGGATCCTTGTTTTGGCCGTGATTGGCAGGGTTGGTGCTGAGCTGTGTGGAGTACCTGCTGCTCAGGCAGGTTGGTTGGTTTGTGTGAAAGTGACAGTTTCTGTTTCAGTCTTCAACATGGCACTAGCCCGTTTGCTCCTGTGGTCAGATAGGGATGGCTTTTTGGGAGCTGAGGTGGCCTGAGGAGAGGACAGCTCTTCTGGGGCACCTCGCACCTTCTCGACAGTGCTGCAGCCCTTGGCTTTGTGAGCTGGGTGGGCTGGCACCACCTGTGGAGAGGGCAGCAG